AGGAGGGCCTTTTAGGGGCTGAGGGAGGTTGGGGAACAGGTTTTTCCTAATTATAAGACCCCAGTGAGTGCTATTAGTTCAGCTTTTTGGGCCCAAGTAGTGGGAGACAGGGATTTTGCCTCTTGTTTCCTGAAGACTGTTAATGGCATACCCAGCCCTTCTGACCCCATCCTTTTTAATAAAAGGCTAATATGCAAATTGTTCGACCGGGAGTTCAACTGCTCGCTATGACATCTGCTGACCACCAGGGGCAGCGTGGAACATGGTGGGCATCGGTGAAGTGACACTGGCAATGGGCGGCAGTAGAGGCGCTGCTGGCCCCAAAGGGCCACAACAAGAGTGGGATCATGGCGGGATGGTGGAGCAGATGATCGGGCAGCACCAGGCCAAGGTGGGTGCAAGTGGGGGCCCAATCGCCCCTCCAATTGCCCCGCAGATGGTGACCAGCGGCGGCAGTTGGGGGCGGGATCACCTCCCGGCTCCCAGGCGCTGAGGCAGCCAGGCAGGGAGCCCAGCCGCAATCGATCGACCCACAGGCGGGATGGTGGAGCAGGTGAGGGGGGGGCACCAGGCCATGGTGGGGTGCCAGGCGGGGCTGCAAGGCTGGGGGTGCAAGCTTGGGCTGTGAGCCTGGGGGCACGAGCTGGGGCCCAATCCCTGCAGGCCACCCCAAGGGACCCCACCGTGCACAATTTCGTGCACCAGGCCTCTAGTCTTGTATAAAACTTCTGCCATCTATAAACTCTTCTGCTTCAAGATGAGGTAAAAGTTCATCTTTTATGTCAGGCCTGCTTGAATGTAATTGTTCAGTAGTTTCTATGGATTGGTCTGTGACTTGTTTTTCTGTATTTATTGGTAGGAGGGTGGCAGGACTAAAAGTTTGGAAGACCTTCAAGTTAATGCAAGAGATTTGAGGAGGAAAGCCTGATATTTACTTAGCCTTCCCCTGTGAGCCATTGAGAGCCCTTTATTTCTGCTGTGGGTAGTGAGATTGGCACCAGGTGTTAGCCCCGTGGGGTCAGACTGGACCTGGGTTCAGCAACCTTGTCCTTGAGTTCTAGCTAGGAAAGTACTATTCACAATCGAGATTCAAACCATAAGAGAACATTTATTTGGAAAATCACAAGAGGTAAAAGAAGTAATTTGTAGAAGAAATGGGCTTAGGAAACAAGTTATAGAGGCAAAGGAAGGGCCCTTGGAGCTTAGAAGTCAGCTATATGATGCAGATATTTCCCTCCAATCTGTTGCTTGATGTTGAATTTTGTTATGTAATTTTTGTTGTTATCCAACTATTTAAAAATTTTTTTCTTTGCCTTCTGTTTTTTTCTTGCATAGTCTTTATATGATGCCATTAAATATTTTTAAACAATAAAATAAGTGTTATAATACCAAATAGGAAAATGTAATACATTAGTCATATTTAATTATATTAATTATTTTTTAAAGGTGGACAAATCTTACATAATATTGGTTTGTCACAATATTGAATAATATTAGTTAATTAGTTAAATTCCTCAAATTTTAAGAAGGAAATATTTCCTTTTGTGACAGCATGGATGGACCTGGAAAGTATTATGCTGAGTGAAATAAGTCAAAGAAAGAAAAAATACCATATAATCCTATTTATATGTGGAATCTAATGAATAAAATAAACTGATGAACAAAATAAGTCTAGAGGCATGGAAACATGGAATAGACTGATAGTTGTCGGAGATGAGGGGGGAGAAGGGGACTGGATGAAAGAAGGTGAAGAGATTAGCCAAAGAACATATATGCATAACCCATAGAGACAGCATTGTGGTGATAGCCAGGGGGCAGTGATGGGGCTGAGGCTGGAAGGAGGTGGGCAAAGGGGGAAAATGGGACATCTGTAATAGTGTTACAATAAAAATAGAGCTAAAAAATAAAAGAAATTGAAACTATGTGAAGTGATGGATGTTAACTAAACTTATTGTGGTAAGAGTTTATATATATAAAGTTATAATGAATTTTGTTATGTCATTTTTGTTGTTATTCAACTATTTAAAAATTTTTTTCCTTGCTTTCTGTTTTTTTCTTACATAGTCTTTATATGATGCCATTAAATGTTTTTAAACAATAAAATAAGTGTTATAATATCAAGTAGGAAAATGTAATACATTAGTCATTTTAATTATATTAATTAGTGAGATTAGCCAAAGTATAATCTATACTAATAAAAGGGTAATATGCTAATTAGACTGGGAGACCTTCTGGGGGACCGGCCAGGGAGGGCAGTTGGGGGCCATCAGGCCAGCCAGGGAGGGCAGTTGGGAGCTATGAGGTCGGCAGGGGAGGGCAGTTGGGAGC